GGTGTACCTAATAAAGTGGCCGGTGAGTGTATAGCACCTTATCAAGTCCACATGAACTCTGAAGTGCTTTACACTTCAGTTATTCACACATTCACACAATGATGGTGATAAGCTACAGAGACGGGGCTGCCATGCACCGGCGCCTCTGACCACCATCAGTMATAATATATAATATTTATAATTTCAGCCAAAACATTACCCCAATGAAATGAGAAGTTGGTAAAAGAACTGTCTGTTTTCAAGTATTTATATTTAGGTATTCAAATTATTTCACATTGACAGATTTTTCCTATTTAATGGTTTTGTAGAACACTTCGGAGTTAACCTTTTTACCTTCAGTGCCCTATTTCCAAGAGTCACATTTTATTGTTCAAAAAAATCAATAAACCCTTAAATAAACTGTTTATTTTTGATCCCTTTTTGATTCTCTGCAGGCAGTGACTGTGTTTTGTCTGGAACTCATGGTTCCTGTGGGGTTTGACCTACTGGTTGTGATCTTGGCAGGTTGTTACTGAAGCTATATTCACTTGTTTCGAGTCTTCTTACATTTAGTTGTCTTCTACAAAATATTACGCTTTTTTTATTCCAAACATTGTATTATTTTTTGCCGTATATTTGGAGATTTTGTTCATTTAACTGTGTCAGAGCAGACAGTTTGTTTCTATATTTCAACATTTGTCAGCTTAAAAAAGAATGATGAGGGTTTCAGATCGCTAGTTCCAAATTATTTCCATTCTTTTTTTTTCTTTCAGTCTGGTACAGTTTAATTTCATGCTGTCTTCACACCTTTTGGTCTGAGCCAAGACAAACATTTAGTTCTGTTTGCTTTTGTCTTACTCACATTTTGTCTGTAAGATTAAATGTGGGGGTAGTACTTTGCCCACAGAGATGGCACATTGTGTTGACTAAATATCTCATGAACCACTGGACAGATTTTAATAATCACTGGGAGAAGATCTATAACTGATTTACCTTTGGAGTCAACCCAATTCAAGATGGCCGCCAGAGCCATCTGACTTTAGATGGCTGTAACTAAGACAGTTTTACAGATGTTAAGATAAAAAAWTGCCTTGGTTTTAGCTGAGAGTGGACGATGTATTCTGAGCATCAGATCTTATCACATCATGAGAGATCTTTCATAACTTTACTTTTAAGATTTGATGTCATAAAATGATCTAGTTTAAGTGTCTGACATGAAAGGTGGCATGGGATATTCAATTTCCTTGAGGAATGCTGACTTTTTAGTTTTTTTTCTGTGTGTTTTGGAGGGAAAGAACTAAAGCATTTACATACCGCATTTTATATATGATGTATTTTTATAAAGGATGTCTTTTTTTATATGGTGAAGTCTCATCTGGCCTTTCCGTTGTTGAGGCGTATCAATGATTTGCATCTTTTGGTGAATTTTCTCTCATCAAGTCTTCTTGTTATGATGATATTGTCTGTTGTTTTCTTCGCTGAAGATGATGTTATGAAGGGTTTTTTCCTTCTTTCTTTAAATCATGAAAAGGACGCTGCAATCATCCACCATACTTGTCTTCTATAAACACCCAGGCCTGTTTTTTTGCTTGTCTCACTCATCAGTGCTTCATCTCTTTTACATAATAAAACAAAGTTAAGTCGCTTCTCATCTTATCTGGCACCTCAACACACTTGTTTTGTTCCTGTAGCCCAAGAAAGTCCTTTTTCACTCATTTTATCTTCAWGTTTTAGGTTTACCAGCTGTGTGAATACCCTCAAAGTAAAACTCAATTTGCAGTTACAAAGAATGTATATTTAATGTTTTAACAAATGACTAAAATAGTGGAAATTGTGTCGGTGTTGGAATGTTTGGTGAACCAGATATATGTACACAGGTTCTGCAGTCCTCATATATTCTGATAAAAGGCTTTGATG